ACCTCTTCCATCCATGCTGGGCCCCTATCTGGCTTGGGTTTGCTGTCAAACGTTTTGTGGTTAATATGTACAACTACCCTGTGGTTTCCAGACAACACAGTTTCCTTGTATTTATCTACTACCACAGTCTTCTGCCCCCTCTTCCACAATGATCTCTGAGCCTTCAGAGGAGAGGGTGTAAAATGGATGTCCTATTTAGAGCTGAGCACTCTGTAGTCTCTTATTCTCTTCACACTGATCACTTGTGGGTTTCTGTGTTAATTGCCATCTGCTGCAAGAAGAACCTTCTCTGGTGAGAGCTGAGAGATGCCCTAATTTATGGGTATAACAATAAGTCATTATGAATCAGCTTAATACTTTGTCTGTCTGGCCACAGATTCTTGGCCCTGATGATAGTATCAAGTTTGGACTCTAACTAATGAAGCAGGCCTTCAACTAGAAGGTTGTTGGTTACTCCCATAACCTTCGTGCAGTTATTGCACCAGTGGGCATATTTTGCCAAGCCAGTTGCTATTGTAGCTCTCAGGGTTCACAGCTGGGTAAGACTGATGATTACATTTCTCTGCCAGTAACATCCATAATACCTAACACTTTGAAAGCTAGCCAATAGAGATGAAGCTTTGAAATCAGTTTCAGCTTGATTTCTCATTGTTCAATGACTCAGATGTATAGTGTCTTAGCAATAGGGTCTTATCATCAAATTCTGGGGGTAACCCAGTGCGGTTGCAATAGCCAGTATTGTTTGAGGGTCTATGGGGTCAAAAACTATCCAAAAGCAACTACATTATTTTCTACATACCTAGAGTAAAATTTCTGAGTCATGTGTTAACTCTGTCTTTTTGTTTGTTTGTTTGTTTGTTTGTTTGTTTGTTTGTTTGAGACAGGGTTTTACTATATAGCACTGACTGACCTGGAACTCACTATGTAGACCAGGCTGGCTTCAAACTTATAGAGATCTGCCTGCTGCTGATTCCAGAGTGCCAGGATTAAAGTTGCACACTACCATGCCCAGACTATGTATCATGTTTTGAGGGACCACTAAACTGTTTTCCAGAATGTCTACATCACTTTACAATACCACTAACGATGTAGGAAGAGTCCTCGGCTTCTCTTTATCAATGCTTGGTATCATCTGCTGTTTTGAGTCTAGCTATCTCACTGGGTCTGAAGTAACTTCTCATTTTGTTTTCAATTTACATTTCTCTATTAATGATATAGAAAATTTTTCATGTGCTTATTGACCATATGTTTGGAGACATGTCTATTTAAATCTTAAATCTTCTTTTTTTTTTTTTTTTTTGGTCTTTTTGAGACAGGGTTTCCCTGTAGCCCCAGCTGGCTGGAACTCACTATGTAGACCAGGCTGGCCTTGAACTCACAGGGATCCACCTGCCTCTACCTCCCGAGTGCTGGAATTAAAGGCGTGCACCACCATGCCTGGCCAAATCTTAACTCTTTTAATATTGCTGACTTGTAAGAGTTCTTTATTCTTGGATGCTGTTTTCAATGAAATATGATAGAAAAATATTTTCTACTATAATATGGGCTGTCTTTTTGACTTTCTTCCTGGTGCTTTTTGAAGCACAAAAGATTTTTTAAGATTTTATTTTTATTTTTGATTATGTATATATGTATATATCTGTATATGGGTATGTGCATGTGAGAGTACAGGTACCCACAGAGGTCAGAGGATTTGATCCCTCGCGGGCTGGAGTTACAAGTGCTTGTGAGCTGCCCAACATGGTTGCTGGGACCTGAACTTGGGTCCTCTGGAAGAGCAACAGCAAGTACTCTTTAACTGCCAAGCCATCTCTCCAGCCCTACACAAAAGATTTTAATTTCAATGAAATTCTATTTTGGATTTTTGTTTTGTTTTTGTGTCATATCTAAGAAACGATGATCTAATCCCAGGTTATAAATATTTACTCTTGTTGTCTATCAAGTAATTTGTAGTTTGGGCCCTCTGATTTATGCATATGATTCATTTTGAATTAAACATGTGTGTGATATCAAGTATATCAAGTATAAGTCCAACTTCATTGTTTTGCGTCTGCATATCTCAAATTGTCCCATTTGTTGAAAAGATTATTTTCCCATTGTATTGTTTTGGAAACTTTCTTGGAAAATTACTGATCATAAATGTAAGGGTTTATTTCTGAACTATCAGTTCTATTCCATCTATATACTTGTCTGTCGTTACAAAGTACCACACTCTTTTGATTACTAACTTTATTGTAACTTTCAGAATTGTCAACTACTGTCTTCAGACTTTTAGCCACTCTTTTGCAGTCTCCTTTGTTTCAACTTGAGATATTGAGCATTTAGGGGATTCTCAAGTGAAAATCGAGTTGCCTCCCAATTGTTTTATTGATAATTCAGCTTTCTCATGTTGGCAAAGTCTTTGATAACTCTTTCGTCTCCCATTAAGCTTCTAATTTTTTTGTTGCTATTGCTTTCCAACTATTCTTGCTTGCCTTAAAAAGAAAAGGAAATTTTATTATTTTTATTTTATATGTATGCATGTATTGCCTGCATGTAGGTAAGTGAGCTCGTGTCATGCAGTGCCCAAGGAGGACAGAAGAGGCTGTCAGATCTCCTGGAACTGGAGTTATGGACAGTTGTCAGCTGCCATGTGGGTGCTGGGATTCGAATCCGGGTCTTCTGCAAGAACAGTCAGTGCTCTTAACCGCTGAGCTGTCCCTCCAGCCCTTTCATAGACCTTTTTTAAGGAACAAAAAGTAACATTAACATTTTAAATATTCTCAATACATGCTTTAAATGACTTTCAATACTCTTCTTTTCCTCCTCCCACACCTAAGCAGGGGCATTTTCCTAAAGATTTTTACTCCTCCACAGCTCTTGTTCTGTTCATTGTACTCTTTATGCTATTGACTTAAGATGCTCTATTCTGGCTAGATTATTTCAAATTAAGTTTTCTTCCCTCAGTCTTGAGCTCCTCTTTTAAGGTAATACTGTTCTAAAATATCAGTATTTTTATGCATTTGCCCCACATAAAGCCCTTAAAGTCGATCTTCACCTATAGAAAAAGGTGATATTGTGCCAAACTTGAGAGAAGTTATCCCAAACTTGGCACTGGGCTTTTAATTTCTCATCCTATGGTTTCTAGGATAAGCACAATCCCCTGCATAGGGTAACTACAATACACATCTTTTTTATGAAAAAATATATTTATAAAGCTTACAGAATAGTAGGTTTCCTTATGGTTTTTCAAACATATTTAGTGTTAATTGTCCTTTTTCCAACTCCTCCTCAAATTTACTTTTAAAGATTCAGTTCAGGCAACTCCCCAAAGACTCTCTGGACTCCCTAATGTATCATTGAACATACTGTGTCTTGATATTTTGATTTCTTCTCCAGAGAGGTCAGTACCTTCTGTTTCATTTTGTTACGTGCCTGTGTGTTTCTCTCAGCTGGACTGTTATCTCCTTGGGGGGATCAGCATGGCATTTCACTGTCCTTTGCATTCCCAGGAGTCAGTTTCAATGTCTAACATAAACTTAGTGCTTAACAAATTTTTGCTGAGTTGTGATCTGTTCTGTGTCTACTATCAGGCCCATTTTGTTAACATGCTCCCCCCACCCGTTTGGAGTATTTGAGAAAACTGTACAATGTAATGATGGAGAACATGGATCCCAGAGCCAGACTAGACTCCCTGAATTTAGACCATGCTTTGGCCATTATTTAATTATGTGAACCTTTGACAAGCTACCTAAAGTTTTCATGCCTTAATTTATCTGTCTATCTATCTATCTATCTATCTATCTATCTATCTATCTATCTATCAATCAT